AGCATCAGCATCAGCATCAGCATCCACATCAGCATCAGCATCACATCAGCATCAGCATCAGCATCCACATCAGCATCAGCATCAGCATCAGCATCAGCATCCACATCAGCATCAGCATCAGCATCAGCATCAGCATCAGCATCCACATCAGCATCAGCATCAGCATCAGCATCCACATCAGCATCAGCATCAGCATCAGCATCCACATCAGCATCAGCATCAGCATCAGCATCAGCATCACATCAGCATCAGCATCAGCATCCACATCAGCATCAGCATCAGCATCAGCATCAGCATCAGCATCCACATCAGCATCAGCATCACATCAGCATCAGCATCAGCATCCACATCAGCATCAGCATCAGCATCAGCATCAGCATCAGCATCCACATCAGCATCAGCATCAGCATCAGCATCAGCATCAGCATCAGCATCCACATCAGCATCAGCATCAGCATCAGCATCCACATCAGCATCAGCATCAGCATCAGCATCAGCATCAGCATCCACATCAGCATCAGCATCAGCATCAGCATCAGCATCAGCATCAGCATCACATCAGCATCAGCATCAGCATCCACATCAGCATCAGCATCAGCATCAGCATCAGCATCCACATCAGCATCAGCATCACATCAGCATCAGCATCAGCATCCACATCAGCATCAGCATCAGCATCAGCATCAGCATCAGCATCCACATCAGCATCAGCATCAGCATCAGCATCACATCAGCATCAGCATCAGCATCAGCATCAGCATCAGCATTAGCATCACATCAGCATCAGCATCAGCATCAGCATCAGCATCAGCATCAGCATCCACATCAGCATCAGCATCAGCATCAGCATCAGCATCAGCATCAGCATCCACATCAGCATCAGCATCAGCATCAGCATCAGCATCAGCATCAGCATCAGCATCACATCAGCATCAGCATCAGCATCCACATCAGCATCAGCATCAGCATCAGCATCCACATCAGCATCAGCATCAGCATCACATCAGCATCAGCATCAGCATCAGCATCAGCATCAGCATCAGCATTAGCATCACATCAGCATCAGCATCAGCATCAGCATCAGCATCAGCATCCACATCAGCATCAGCATCAGCATCAGCATCAGCATCAGCATCCACATCAGCATCAGCATCAGCATCAGCATCAGCATCAGCATCAGCATCAGCATCACATCAGCATCAGCATCAGCATCACATCAGCATCAGCATCAGCATCAGCATCAGCATCAGCATCACATCAGCATCAGCATCAGCATCCACATCAGCATCAGCATCAGCATCAGCATCACATCAGCATCAGCATCACATCAGCATCAGCATCAGCATCAGCATCAGCATCAGCATCAGCATCAGCATCAGCATCGGCATCAGCATTAGCATCAGCATCAACATCAGCATCAGGATCACATCAGCATCAGCATGAGCATCAGCTTCGGCATTATCTCGGGTACATCTCAATGCAGCATTCACGTAGCCTATGTTCACGTACTATGTAGCTCAATCAGTCCATTCATAGCCTATGTGATGGCCTGTCTCCCTCGCCAGCTCATGGAGCTAATCATGACTGGGCGAGGGGTGACAGAGGAGGAGGCAGCAGCAGGCAGGGCGTCGTGTGTGGCGCTGCGGCATGCACTGCAGCAGCAGCTGAGGCAGGCTGGTGCAGAGGCCTTCATCGCCCCTGCTGCCACCGGCTTCCCTCCACCCCTCCATCAAGGTGTGGGGAACAAAGGGGATCTATCAAAGTCAAAAAATTATATTGCTTTCGTCTCTACAATGCTTGCTACGGTACCTCTCCTGCCAGTCAGGCGTGTGGTTGTGACGTGTGGTTCCCATGAGTGCCTTGAGGTTGATGTTTCCCCTCATGTCCCATACGCCCCGCACTCCCCACCAGGCACGACAGGAGACCCCATCATGGCCATCCCCTGGAGCCACTCCGGTCTGTCCACTGTCACCATGCTAGTCGCCCTGTGAGGTTTGACCAGGCCTCTAGTGTCGCCCCTATCCTCTCTCGCATCCCGCCCTCCCCACCAGGCACGACAGGAGATCCCATCATTTCCATCCCCTGGAGCCTTGCTGGCCTGCCCACTGTCACCATGCCAGTCGCCCTGAGTGATTTTTGCATGACTCCAGATGTGTCTGTTATGTGTCGCCCCTATCCTTTCTTATGATCATGCTCCCTCGCACCTGCCCCAGCAGGCACGACAGGAGATCCCATCATGTCCATCCCCTGGAGCCATGCGGGTCTGCCCACTGTCACCCTGCCAGTCGCCCTCGCACCTGCTGCAGCTGCTGGCAGCACTCGGGAGGGTGGTTCCGTGCATGAATGCAGCGAGGAGAGTAATGAAGAGTGCAGCAGGGAGGGCAGCAGGGAGTATCTTCCACTGGGAGTCACGCTGGTTGGGATGTGGAACGAGGATGAGACACTGTTGGACGTTGCATTGGAGCTTGAAGGCTTTTCTGATTGCACTTCACCATTGTGAACCAATATAGATTATCCAGGAATGTTGCAAAACCATACATATAAATTTTATTTCCTTGCTCATACAACTGCAGGGCTGCTCCTCAACCATGGCCTCAGATGTCAGGAATTTTACCCTGAATTCCTGAAGTTTGACCCCCGTTTTTTATCATGACCCTGATGCATCAGCCTTTTTTTTTCAACGACCCTGATGTTTCAGTGTTTTTAAATTTAGAACTCTGATTTTCCAGTGTTTTGTGTTTGAGGACACTGACGAGTCAGCGTTGTATCGGGGTCTACCCTGAAACCAAAAACTCCTTGTTTTGGCGCGCCGTCACTGTGCACCGTGCACCAAGGGGATTTCTGGCGGTACTCCTGTCGCAGCTGACTGGAGAAGAGGTTATGAAGCTGACGCAGCTGGCCAGCACGCGGTCCCTGGCAGGGAGGACTATGTATTGGCAGTTGCTGTCAACAGATGGCCGCGGAATCCTCGGAACGCCTGCGGAGGTGGGGAAGAACGGAGAGGTGCTGCTAACGAACAGATCCAGCCCGATCCGACTCGAACTATACAGACCGACCCCGCTGATTGTTGAGGAGGGCAGACTGGTGGGAGAAGCGGGCCTCCCGCTTTCACGTCTGAGGCTATCGGTGCTCTGTGCGAAAGGGCAAAGCGCATCACTAAGGCAGCTGCGAGCAGAGCTGAAGGGACCAGTTGAGCAGCCGAAGCAGCAGAAGAAGTGGGAGGAGGAGTATGGGAGATCAATTGACTGGAAAGGTGCCATCCGAAAACGGGACACTTTGGTCACGCTGGGCAGAGCGAGGGAAATCATCTTGAGGCTACACTGCAAAAACCTCCAGGTGGGGGACAGACTGCACTTCATGAAAGAGCACATCAGCTGCCCGCACTGCAAGAAGGACGAAACCCTAGCGCATTGTCTACTTGAATGTGAAGTGATACAGCCTGTCATCGGCGCGCTGAAGGGGGCGCTGAAGCAGATGAATCCAAACCGGGAGGTGGGGAGGTTGGAAGACTTCCTGTTCGCGGAAGATGGCATGAAATCGGGCTTTCCAGAAAAACCGCTGATAGCAGTGGCATTTCATCAGGTGTGGCTGGAGAGATGCGAGGCAGCTTTCCGACAAGACACGTTTCAGCCTTTGAGGGTGCTTCGGAGGATTGGTGTGAACTTCATGAAGCACGTCAGGATATACAGTGCCCACAAACAACACGTTGCAAACATCAGCAAGCAAGGAGGCGGGCAGAGCTGGGCCTCTTTGGAGCGGGACGAGGCTGTAGTGCTGAGCCGGATTTTCCAAGATGAAGACACGCTGACATGGAAGGATGGCTTTAGATCGGTGTGGTCCAACCCGAGAACAGCCTTCCAACCACCTTAAAGCGCTAGTGGAAGGGCAGTGTTGACTTTTTTGTCCTCCCGGTCCCTTCCCCCTTCCAGTTACGACTGTGGATGTAACCGCTTGTATAAGTGTAATGCATCCTTAAAAAAAAAAAAAAAAAAAAAAAAAAAAAAAAAAAAAAAAAAAAAAAAAAAAAAAAAACAGGGCGAATTTCTTGTGTGAGGGGCGAATCTGCTGCTGTGTCAGGGCAAATCTGCTGTGATTGGGCGAATTTGCTGTGCTGCGACAGCGCGTAACGACTGTGCGAGGTCGAATTTGCCGCAGGGCGAATCTGCTGTGACGAACCAAGTCCGAATCATCAGTCAAGTACACAACCAGAGATCAGAAACAATTCTTAACAATTGTCCTATTCGATTGGTCAGACAAGATTTCTGACCAATCAGACACGGAAATAGCAGAATCCTGGCCGAATTTGGGAATTGTAAAGTGAGGGCAGTCTGATTCGCTGTGTTATGACAGCATACCAGTAAAGCAACTATGCTGATCAGTGTTGAAGTTGTAGAAACCCTGATTGATCAGCGTTTTATTCCTAACAACCCTGTAAATTCAGTGTTTCACACTAGACGACACTGAAAATCAGTGTTACCCTCCTAGGGACACTGAGTGCTCAGGGTACACAAAAACCAATCTGAGGCCCTGTCCTCAACTATCTTTGAGTCCGTCAATAACATAGATTGCCCCCTCCCTACAGGTCAGGCCTGCCATCCCACGGAAGCGCGCCAAGCCTCCACACACCCGCCTGTCAAGTGTGTGTATCCCGTTCCCTCATACTTGACCTCAATCCCTGGGTTCGTTTCTCCTTCTTGACCCACAAGGCCATTGGAGTTGAAACTGGGGGGACAAGAGGGAGGGGGAGTAGTGCCATTCGCATCAGCACCAGCAGCAGGGACAGCAGTGATGGCAGAAGCAGAACAAAGGTGATGCATTGCAGTGTGCAGGCGGTGCCACGTACCACACCCCTTCCTCCTCTTTCCACCTCCCTCAAGCTGTTGACGGCCTGCAGATTGCGTGCCACACCATGCCATGCCATACCACACCATGGCATGCCACACCATTTGTCAGCATCTTTAATGGGCTTTCACCCGTCCAATCTTCAATCACTCACCTCAGATGTAATCCCTTTCACTCACCTCAGATGTGATCCCTTTCAGTCACCTTACAGAAAGGTGGGGGGGGAGTGGAAAGGGGAGAGCAGGGGAGGGCAGAAAAGGAATGGGGGGGGGGGGGGGGGGGGGGGGAGTGTCAGAATTATATTCTTATACCTGCATGTAGTTCTAGCTGTAGTGTAGATATGAACTTTATAGGTGGTGCACCTCTTTCTTCACTTGTTTGCTATATGTACTCTCTTGCTATAGTGAACATTCATTCCCAACTTTCTCGATACCCTTGCCTTGGCACAACCCACTCGATATCCCCTAGGCCTAGGCTACTAAGCCTAGGCCTACTTAACTCTCAATTACTCTTAGAGCTCGTTACTTTGACATGGCATTAGAGCGTGTTTCGTCCTGGCCTGTGGGCCCACCTTATGCTTGCGCTGCTGTTTTTCCGGTCGCACGCCTAGGGCGCGTGGCGATTTTCGTCTTGTCCCGCCCCCGGGTGGCGAGTGACACCTTCTCTGCCCGTCGCGAGCCCCGTGGCACGCGACGGTGCCCTAAACTTGCCCGTCGTGCGCCCCATGGCACGCGATGGTGCCCTGCTCGTCATGCGCCCCGAGGCACACGACGGTGCCCTAAAATTGAACTTGCCCGTCGTGCGCCCCGTGGCACGCGACGGTGCCCTGCTCGTCGTGCGCCCCGTGGCATGCGCGACGGTGCCCTTGAGCCGCCGCGGAACCGCCTCTGGCGCCTGCGACGGTGTCCTGAACCGCCAAGTACCCGCCCCTGGCGCACTCGGCGGTGCCTCTGCTTCACCCCGCGCCTGCACTCCCTGCAGCCGCCCCTGACCTACCTGCGCCGACCCTATGTAGCCGCTCTGCGGCTTTCTTCCCGCCCACCCCCTCCTCCTTTGTCTCCCTGCAGCCGTGGGGGGGAGGGTATGGGGGTGGCGGGTGTTGGAGTGTTGGGTAGTGTGCTTCCCTTCCCCTCCTCCTCCTTTCGTTCCCACTGCTGCAGCTGCCGCTGGGGGGGAGGGTGTGAGGGTGTGGGGGAGCTGGGGGAGTGGCACTGGGGTGGCGGGTGTGAGACCATCCAGCAGCCGTCCCTCCACCTCTCCTCTCTTCCCCCCTCTGCTGCTCCTGCAGCAGTGTGGGGGGGAGGGGGAGGGGGAGGGTGAGGAGATGGAGGGGGTGACCAGCCAGAGCCAGCCCGCCTCCTCACTCTCCCTGCTGCCCCTCCTGTGGTTGGGGGGGGAGAGGGTATGGGGGTGGCGGGTGTTGCTTGTTGTCGACCTGCTGTACCTGCTCTGTTACTGTACCTGCTGTTGGTGTTTTATCAGTCTGTGGTGTACCCCTGCAGGTTGTGTTTTGCACTTAGCTATTCCTGCATGTAGTTACGGGGGGATGTCAGAATTATATTCTTATACCTGCATGTAGTTCTAGCTGTAGTGTAGATATGAACTTTATAGGTGGTGCACCTCTTTCTTCACTTGTTTGCTATGTATACTCTCTTGCTATAGTGAACATTCATTCCCAACTTTCTCGATACCCTTGCCTTGGCACAACCCACTCGATATCCCCTAGGCCTAGGCTACTAAGCCTAGGCCTACTTAACTCTCAATTACTCTTAGAGCTCGTTACTTTGATAGGGAGAAGGGAAAAAATGGGCGCTTTCCCCTTTTGCCAGTCCTCTTCGTCCATTCCCCCTCTTCTCCCCTCCGCTCCGCCCACCTTCGCCTTTCTTCTCCCCTCCACTCACCTCCCCTCCGCTCTCGTCCTCCCTTTTTCCCGTCTTGCATCCAGGCCGGGACCATCGACGCGCACTCAAGTCCTGGAAGATGAGGGGAGCGCGGCAAGGGGAGGGGAAAAGCGGAAAGGGGAGGGAAACCTAACGGGTAGTGGAAAAGCGGAAAGGATAGGAGAAAAGCTGAATTAAGAGGAGAAATGGGCGCTTCCCCCTTTCTCCAGTCCGTCCATTTCCCCCTATTCTGCCCTCCGCTCACCTCCACCTACCTCCACTCACCTCCCGTCCTCCTTTTCCGCGTCTCGCGACCAGAATACAGTCAACAATCTGAAGTCACGAGGGGGAAGGCGTAGAGGGGAAGGCGAAGGAGAAATTACAGTCGCCTCCACTCACCTCCTTTTCCGCGTCTTGCGTCCAAGATACCGTCGACGCTGTGAAGTAGACGAAACGCGCTGTCTAATTGACGAAGCGCGAGTCGCTACTGATGCGTCAGAAATCGACGCTACTAATTCGTCTGCTACAAATGTTACTATTCCGCCCGCTACTACCATGTGGATAGAAGTCATATCTGGAGCGCGCAACTTAGACTGTCTTACTAGAATGCGATATCTATTCAGATCTAATACTGCTAGCATACCAATAGAAGCGTAAAACGATTACAAATACGCACGACCGAGGGCGTGAGCTACATAAAATATTTCGTTGTCATGAAAAGTTGTACTTAGATCGACTACCGCGCAGAGATCTGTCTTCACAGAAAAATAACTATCGG